CCTAAGAGGCAAGGCATATATATCTTAATATACATCTGAAGGGCTGTTTTCTTTGCCTCTCTTTCCTTCCCAGTATCACCATTCCTGAAAGAGAAAGGCTTCTGCTCTTTCTTCCTTCCCAAAAGAAACTTGCTGATGTCAGATCATGGGTTTCCTCTTCTCTATGATCTATAATAAAACCCTGCCACCCAATTTGCTCAACTTTGTTCTTAGAATATTAATGGGAGCTAAAGAAACTTGGAAAATAATTTCCCCCCCAAATTTTTTATAGTCAAGCCTATTGAGTAGCTGAAAAATTACATTTCAGCTATCAAAAGCCAAATACTTTATTTTCCTTTGGATTTCTATTGCATTATCATAACTATCCAGGAGGCAGTAGATGCCTCTGAAACCATTTGTTTATTCCTTCCTTCAGCAAAAATGTATTGAGCATGTATTATGTTCTTGGCACAGTTTCAGGTACTTATATGCTAGTGGAAGAGCAGACAATAAATGACAGAGATAAGCAAGGAAGGAGAAGAATGAAACAAAGAAGAGTAACAAAGTTTCAGGGGTGGGGGGAATTGTGGTATTCTGCATGGGGGTGGGTGGGGGTGGGGAGGCCTCATTGAGAATGTGACTTTTGAAAAAAATCTGAGTTATTCATCCCATATATGGGAAAAGACTATTTCTGGCAGAAAAAAATAGCAAATTCAAAGGCTTAAGGGCAGGAAGTTGGTCTGCTTGGAACAGGAAAGGAGGAGGTGATGAGGTCAGACAGGTAATAAGGTGTCAAAACATGCAGGGCCTTGCAGGTTAGAGTTGGACTTTGGTTTTTATTCTGGGTGAGTCAGGAAGCCATTGGAGGTTTTTAATCGAGGGATGACAAAGTGAAGTAAGTTTTAACATCCTGTAGGAGAAAAGCATAGGGGCGGGGTAAGAAAAACATTGGAAGTTATTGTAGCAATACAGGTGAGGGATGATGTTGGCTTAAAACAAGCCTCTGGCTGTGAGAAAGTGGCTAAATTCTGGATGTATTTCGAAGTTAGAGACATCAGGATTTGACTAAAAAAAAAAAAAACAAGTGGAAATAAGAGAAAGGAAAGAATCAAGGATGGCACCACAATTAGGTACTGAACACTTGAAAAATTGAGTTGTACTGAACTGGAAAGTAAAATGAGTACCTTTGAGGTGGAAGGATATCAGGACATGGTAAGCTTGAAATGTCTACTAGACATCCAAGTGGAGATGCTAAGTTAGCAAATCTGTCTGTAGGCTTGGAACTGAAAGAAGTCTGGGCTGGAAACAGTCTTGACGTGATTACCATGTTGGTCTTAATTTCTTACCTAAATGCAATGAAAGCTGCCTTATTTGACAGGAAGGAAACAAAAACAGAACACATTGAAAAAAGTCAATGGAATGCCTGAAAACCAAACCTAAAATCTAGTTAGTAGATTTTAATGAACACTTAAAATCTTTCTCTAACTACAGATGTTGAAGTGAAAAGGTTACAGAAGGAAATTATTCAATAGTTCTTACCTTTTTTTTTCAATAGTTCTTAATAATTGATAGTATTCAGGTTATTTTTAAGTTTCAGTTATCTGCTTGGCTTGTTCTTTCACCTCCTTCAAGTCATTGCTCAAATATTTCCTTCTTAATGAGGTTGCCCTGTAGTTAAGCTTCCACCTTCTTCTTCTTCTCTTCCCCACACTAAATCTCCTTAAACTGCTTTATTTTATTTTTGTTTACCAATAGCATTTATCACTTTCTCAAATACACGATGTACTTACGTCTATTGGTCGTTGCACTGAACACAGCTTGTGCAGAGCTTTCAGTCCTGCTGACTTCACCTGTGAGTCTAGTGGTCACTGGTTCCCTGAGAGCTCTGACCAGCTTCTAGCAGTTGCAACCTGACAGCACCTCACCTCAGACCCGCCTCTTAAATTCCTGCCTTTGGGAACATGCTGGATACAAACTCAGTGTAACTTGAGGGTGCGGGAGTTAATCCTGCCGGGTTCCCCTTGGCCAGTGGAAGTGGGTATTTTCTTCCCTCAGGCAGATATTCCTGGATGCTTTTCATGAAGTCTCACATGGGATAGGACACTTAGTCAACCAGAACAGTGATCAACTGATTGCATCCATTAATTAATTCTTCCACTTTCCTTCTTTCATTCCCCCCTTCCCTAACTCCCGAGGTCATACTCCTAAATTAACCATTTACACTTAATTAAGCCCTGGCCACAGGCTCTGCTTTATAGAGAATTCAGGCCAAGGATTATTTTTTCTCTCTTCTGTTTTTCACCACTTTATCTGCCCAAGCTTATATATCTTAAGATTTCAGAAGATTGTCTGGCATATGACAAACTTTCAATAAATATGTGTTGAATTAAATGTAATGTGGTTTTCCAATTACTAAATCAGGTAAGGGTTAGGAATTTGGGACTTCAATGCCGAAGTGCAACTATCAAAGTGATGTGACCCCATAGGTCACTGAACTAGACTCTAGGGGAGTTCTAACATGTCTGGCAATAGAGAACAGAGCTTAAAGGGCCTATATGCAGGAAGCATACAGATTGGGTTGTGTGTGAGTTGCTACCTGTGTAAATTTGAAAAATTATTTAATCTCTACATGCTGCAATTTCCTCATGTTGAATATGGGGATATAATAATCTCTAGCTCACAAAGTTGTGAGGATTAAATGACAGAAATGGGATGTAGTAAGTACAATATACATGTTTGCTGCTATGGTTATTATTATTACTGGGTTGTCGGAAAAGTCATGATGTATTTTTTCTATGTTTTTCATTGCAAAAATGTGTCATGACTTTTCTGACAACCCATTATTGATTTCCACCACATGTATTTTGGAGACAGCATAAAATTAAAATAAGTGGGCATTGCCTGATTTTAAAGAAATCTAACCAAAATTTTCCCACCATTTTCTTATGTTTTAAATATTTTTACTTTCAATTAATATTTACTCTAATAAATATTTAAACAATATAGAAATATATACAGTTCCATAATCTGTTCCATTGCCACAGTCCAGATAAGGTGTCCTTTTGTTCATTTGTTTGTTAATAACGTCAGCCTAATTTATAAATGCATTAACTGATTCATGATCAATATTAAAATGTCATCATATCCTAGCTTTTCCTTGGACCTCAATGCATGGAGCAGACAACATCAATTTATTTTGTTATTCTTAAGCTTGCGGAAGAACATCAATCTAAGTCTCAGAATTCTGAAATCTCATCATGTGTGAAGTGGGGATTGCCGTGCCCACCCCACCATATCTGAGAGAGAATTGAATGTCATAATGATCATGAAGGGGCCCAGCACATGTTCTGGCATGTAGTTGAAGGGCAATAGCATTAATTGAAATCAGTGCTAATTGGAATGGCACTAACTGAAATCTTATCCATATCCCACACTTCTCTGAGCCTGGTGCTGTGGTTTTTCTTAAGAAGAATTCAAACACAGTGTTTTAGCCCTACAAATGTCTTGTTATTATGGTACTTGGCAAATGGAACTCACTTTCATAAAAATAAATGTTCCGGAGATGGATGCTAGACATTGAAACTTTTTCATTAGCCATAACATCACCAGTTACAAAGTTATTTCAGCTGCATTTTAATTTATAGTTTAATTGAGTGGCTCATAATGAGAATTGCTAAAAGCAACCTAATCCGAGTTCTTTGAATTCTTTTAACTTGGTGCTATGTGCTGAGCAAATGGGTTTATTCAGCAAGCTGCTTATATCCCATGATACCTTGATTCAGAGACTTACCACTAACCTGTGTTTTATAATAGAAAGTTTAAACTTATAATATATGCTGAGTGTGACTTTAAGGTACTAAATATAAGGTAATGAATGGAACACTAGGCTTTGTGTTACAAAATTAATCTCTAACGGAATGACCTTGACATAACCCTCACTTTTTACGTCTATAAAATACGTGACTATGGAAATGTAGAGGAGATTATTGCAGGTATCTCTTATTTTCTCATTGGTATTTATGTCAAAAAACTCTACAAGGAAGGTCCTATACACATTTAAGACATTATTACTTTAGCAGCTGGGAATCTCAGAGTGAGAGTCAAAGACGAACAGAGTGCTTCCATGAATATGAAGAAAGCAAGAGAGAACTAGTTAGGTTTACTCCAGACAGCTGCCAACTTGAGGATGTGTCACAAATAGTCTTTCGTGATTTATGAACATTGTTATAACCCAGCTTAGCACTTTTACTGCTTCTAGGTTAAGTGCCAGGAGCTCATGGGATCTGTAACCTCACATATAATAAAATTCAAAAAATGAGAAAAACATGATTTCCTATCACTCAGCCCTCTAATATGAATTTATTTATAAGCATTTTGACTCCTGAAACCATTTAGTCCTAATCACATAGTACAAGCGAGATAATTTAGTATAATAAACTGAAGATCTCAAAAGAATTCATAACAAAATTGTGCCTTTTTACATCGGTGTTAATTAAGTGCCTGAGGCAGAGCAGGTACCAAATTAAATACCCTAGTAAATTCCTGTGACTTCATTTAGGGAGAAATGATTATCTCTAAGGTAAACCAAAATACTAGAAGAAAACACGTACGAAATTTTTAAAAGGTGTTTCTGAAGCTTAAAATGAACTAATAGTTCACTGAAATAATACTAATAATTACTGAAAAGAATTGTCTGTATAAAAGATTTCGCTAAAATCATTTTCAGAATAATTCTTCAAAACTATGATTATAGAATCCCATTATTCCTTTCTGTCATCTTAAGAATGTATTTAGGTAATTTGAGGCTATATACAATGTTAACTTCTAAATGACCGAAAATCCCAGAAATGGAGATGAAAGCACTCTATTAATTCTAAACTGCTTGGGATTATCATTTTTCAAGGTGTTTCCTGCCCAGTTTTAAATGTCCGGTGCTAAAAATGATAAGCAGCAATTCGTCAATAGACTGCTTATGTTCCTTACTCCATTCTTCTCAAAGTGACAAAGTGCCTTGATTCCAGCAGCGATTCCCCAGTCTGCGTTGGCATTTGGTTTCTATTGTGACCCTTAACTGCTGAAACTGAGCCCAGAGTGAATGATCACATGATTTGAACATTGCAAGAGATACCAAAGAGGTAAGTTACTAACTTATCCCTCTGCCTCTAGGAAGGGCAAACGGTGCCCAAATATTTCCAGAGGAATAATTTTGCATCCTAATGAGTGAAAAGCTAAGGAGTGGGAATTTCCTTCAGAAACTAGTTTGCATACTTTTGGACTATTTCTATGCTAATGCCATTAGTGTACAAAGATAATATTTTCCGGAACTGCCAGAGTAGCACATGGCAAGGATTAGTCATCTAGCTGTTACAGATTAATTAATTACCCTGAGAAAATTCCTTTTACGGATTAAACAATCCCATAGAATAGAACCGTTTTTATACATCTTATTTTACATGAATAGACATCTCTAATCTCAGTATTTTTCCGTCTCCCCACCACCACCCCTTTCAACTTTCCTTTCCAGTCTTTCCCTTCTCTTTTTTATTTGGTCCCCTTTCTCCCTGGCTAAACTCAAAGTTTAGCTCACTACCTGGCACCATCTTTCCCCTGACCTTTGATATTCTATTGGATACCAAATTCTGTAATTAATGCCTCAAAAAATAACTCCTGACTTGCTCTCTCTTTTCCATCTTGTTGATACTATCTTACTTCTATTTTTTATTATGTTTTGCCTGGATATAAATTAGTCTTCCTACTCTTTTCCTTGCTTTGGTTTCTCTCCAGCTCCCAAGTATATCTTATGCACGGCTGCTGAAGTGGTTATCATAAAGCACAGCTCGGACTTATTCCTGCATCAAAATCTTCAATGGTTCCACACTATCAGCTGAGGCTTTTGAAATCCTTGACCTGGCTCTTATACCTCTCTGTGCTCCCATTACCAACACTCATCACCCAGTTCCAGCCTTGCTTTTTTGCTTTACTATCTACTTTTTCTTTTTCACTTGGATGGCAGTCTTCCTAAGCTATACACAATTTTCTGAATACAGTCTAAGTTTTCTTGCATATTTTTTCCTAACTCCATGTCTTTGCAATCTTTTTTTCCTTCATCTAAAATTGTATTCTTCCAATATTTACCTATTGAAATCTTACTCCCCTTCAATTCCTAATCAACCAACCAACTAACCAACCAGCCGATCAACCAAACCATGACCACAGCTACAGTTTACCATGTGCTCCTAGCATGTCAGGGCCACACTGAACATTCTAAGTAGGTAATCTCTAATCCCTACCCACCTACTAGGAAGATATTATTATAACTGTATCACAGGTAAAGAAACTGACATTTAGGAATGTCGGTGATTTCTATTCTAGGTGGCACAGCTAGTAAGTAGTATGTGGCACATTCTGGTAGTTACCAACCTAATACTCTTTCTTCCTTTTTTTCCCTTTAACAGAACACTGATGATGATGATGATGATGATGATGATGATGATTTTGGAAGGGGTTTAACAGTGTGCCAGCTAAAACAAAAGGTAACAAAAAACTGCATATCCCAACTTCCCTTATAGCAAGGAGTGAGCGTTTTAACATCATTCTTGCCAAAAAGACATAAGTAAGAGTCTGCTAGGAACTTTGACAACTTTTTTTTTTCTTTTTTGTCTCTACACTGTCTCTTCCTTCTTATTCTTTAGGTAGCAAGGCTGAGATGCCTGGTAAAGAGGAACTATCTTGGGACCATCAGGTTGAGAGATCAACACTAAGGAAGGTAGAACAAAAAGATGAATGAACCTGAGATATTAATGGTACTAGGATCTACTGCACTGTCACTCATCCAGAAATTCTTGTTTGGTAAAGAGAATAAAGTTTAATTTGGATAACTTATACGTTGGGCTTTCTGTTGCTCATAGCTGAACACAATCCCTAACTGGTGCATGATGGAAGTGGGTTTGCTACCTAGATCTGTGTCACTTGGATTCTTCTTTAGACTATGTCATCACTGCCTCCTTCATAGAGCAAATTAAACCTTACCTGAATGTAAAGTAAACCTTACCTCACCTCAAAAATAATTTTTTTTCCTTCTGTACTCCCATAAAATTCTGGGACACTTTGAAGGCCCTGTGATTTCCTCTTTGTATTTTGAATTTTTATTATGGGTTGTAAATTCCTTAAGAACAGTTTAGAAATTTCTTCCCTCCCTATACAAGTACATAAAAAAAAATCAATGAGCATTTACTGTGTTGAATTAAAATCCATAAAATTCACAGTATAGTTTTCTATTATTTGACTCTTTTATGAATTGTTTTTAATCTTCTTTAAATTTGGTCTGAACATAAATGCAACCCAACACCACTGGTTTGAGTTCCCACTGAATCTACTAGAAACCAGCATCTTCAGCTCTTTCTGCGAGTTTCTCAGCTTATTGCCTCTGGGGTGCTTATAAACAAGGCCCTCCAGTTGGGGTTGGCCTTTCTACTTGGCCTCCTCATTTTCCCCTTGAGCTGCTGCCTCTGATGCTGCTGAGACTGCCACTCTGCCCATTCCAGACTTGGGAGAAGAAACACAGCTTTCACTACTCCTTTACTCCATACAGGGGATAGCTCTTTTTCTAATTACTCATTGTACAGATGAGACCGGGCTATAACTTTAAAGGGAAGAGCAAAAGAGTAGGGAATAATACGATAAAAGGGAAATAGAATATTTAAACGAAAACAGAATATTTACAACTATTCTAGGCCCAGACCCATTGGCTCTCAAATTTTTCTTTCCTGGCATCCACATGACCAGGGCAGTTCACCACCGCCCCCCCACCGCCCCCCACACACAAATGCCCATGGCTTTCTAAGGCTGAGAGTCCAAACAGACCATCAGCCTCAGAAAAAGACCAAACATTTTTTTTTTCCTCACCTCATCATAAGGCATCCTTCCCTTAGGCTTTTCCCCTTCATTTCTCATGATTGGTAGTGGAAATATTCATGTCTTTTAAGGGACACCCAAGCCTGTGGTCCTGACTACTTTATCACAAAATAATTCAAATTTGGTTTGATTTGCGTTACTCTGATAATCTGCAGAAACTATATGTGAATACAACCTGATCATCATCTGAGTATACTGGATAGATTATATTTTGGATATTGTATATTATAATTGGTTTCCAAAGCTGTTGAATTTTCTTAATAATACTCTAACATTGTTATTTTCAATTTTTTCAATGGCTGGTGACCCTGGGATATTGTCACTAATTTCCACAAATAAGAATTGAAATTTTAAAGTGTGGTGATGAAGTCTTTATTTCAAGTGGTTTAAAGAACCTGGAAGTGAATATAGATAAATTTTAATGTATTTTGTAGAGAAGAAAAGGAATGGGTATCAGGACTAGAGTTAAAACTTGAGGGACCAAGTTTATGCCATATAAACATGAAGGAGGAAGAGGTGGATGGAAAGGAAGCGAAGTAGGATAAAAAGGAGAAAGGGGAAAAGGAGAAAGAAAAGGAAAGAAGAAGAGAACAATAAAAAGAGAAAGACCTTTCCAGTAGAAAATATTAATAATTATAATTGATTCTGGCAAGACTTAATAAAAGTCATGTGTGTAATATCCTGGTATTCTCCTATGCAGTATACAAGCAGTGCTGTATTCATGAATAAAAAAAGAAAGTTCAAGAGATATGTCACTGAAGAGAAATTACTTAGGAATTAAGGTGGAAAGCATTTAAAATCAAGTATCTCTTTAGGCACAAGAGCAATATAATTAAACCAGGTTCTTTTAAACACGGCCAATACTCTATACCATGTATCTTCTCAATAATCTGTTGGTCAGTTTGTTTAGAATTTTGTAATGCTTTAAGATGCTTTATTAGCAAACTGAGAAAGCCTTTGATAACATATTCTGATTTTAAACTACTATCACAGAAAGATGTAAAATACATTATTTTACATCTTTCTTTTTTTTTAAAGATTTTTTTGGGGAATCGGGGGAGGGGAACAGACAAGTTGCTGTCGTTTTGTACTTCAGTCTAGTTGTGGAAGCCGTCGCTTCACTGGCCCATGTTGGTATTATCATTGTGCTCTTTCCGGATGAGGCAGATCGGTCACCAATCACTGGACAGCTGCTCACGCTGGCTGCCGGCTACTCACGGTAGCTTATGGCAACCCACTGCAACCCCACTGCAGCCTACACCATCCCCAGCGACTCACAGCAGCCCAGCTCCAGGTTGAACTGTTGTTCACTCTCTTAGCTGGAGAGGGCACAGCATCACTGGCCTTCATGTGGGATCTGAACGGGGGCCCTGCTGCTCAGAGCTGGCATCCCAAGCCAACACTTAACTAACAGGCCACTTGGCCAGCCCATTTTACAGCTTTTTAAAAATGGAACCCCACACATGTACTCCACAGCATGAGGGTGATGCAGTAAGAAAATGCAGAGCTATTTGGCCTTGAGATTCAGTCATTAAGCGAGAGCTGCCAGCTTGGCCTAACCAATGTGTGAGTATGTTTGCTTCGCTCTCCTCTGGCCTCCAGCACAGAAGGGAGGCTGTCTGTCACCTCTATAAAGCTTAAAGTAGTTCTTTCCTTTGAGAACAAGATCATTGTTAGATATCTGGCTCCTTCTTGAAATCTTAGGTGATCAAATAGACACTGACAAACAAGAAAGCAAGTAATGAAGAGAAATTGAGTAATACATGTTAATGATGATTTTTATAGATGAATTTATAGTGACTTTCTTGGTTGGCTACATTCTTTCAAATCCTAGAATACCTTATATTTTTAGAGGTAAGTTATTTCAAATTGAGTGATTCTTAAATACTTAATTTACATTTCTGAGGTCTTTGGAATGTATCAATTGCCATGAAGAATCTAATTGACTTGTGAGATTTTATTAAAGTCATGTAAGCACATCCTGGTGTTCTTAAATGCAGTGTACAAACTGCTCTGTGCTCATTGATAAAAAGAGAAAGCTCAAGAGATATGTCTTTGAAGAGAAATTATTTGGGAATTACAGTGGAATATGCAGTTGGATGCCTCAGTGACTATCAAAAGAATATACCCATCCTGCCCATGGAAGGAACCATCTTGTCTCTCTCCCTCTGTTTTCTTGTTCCATGCTAGCAGATAGTCCTGGATTACAAAGCCCACTTGTTCCTCCTGAGTAACTGTCACTGCTTTCTGTGGGCTCTTCATTTAGCAGGAAAGGGGTCAAATGGTCTCGGCTAATAGGTCTTCATTCCTCTCCCTCCCACCTCTCTCAACCTCTGCTATGATAGCATTAACACTAAATTGGTATCTAAGCTATCTGAAATAGCTCATATCTTACCAGCTGAAATTTAGTTGGTTAATGTACATACTGCTTCCCCATTCCCCACCCCAAATACTACTGTGAAGTACACACGTGCAGTGTAGAGAGGTGTATTAATAGTACCTGATAGAAATGGTTTTATTTATTTATTTATTTATTTATTTTAAATTTATTTATTTATTTATTTATTTTTTATTGTTAGTTTCAGGTGTACAGAACGATGCAATAGTTATCCTTTTCACCCTTCACCCAGAAACAAACCCCCTCCCCCATCTACTGCCCTCCCAC